GAGCAGGGAGCCCGATGCGGGACTCGATCCCGGGACTCCAGGATCATGACCTGAGCCGAAGGCAGTTGCTTAACCAACTGAGCCACCCAGGCGCCCAGGCTATAATATTATATTAAAATAGCTGTGATGTAGCTGTGGGAAGAATAACTTTTAAAAATATCATCTTTGGTGCTCAACATCATTCATCATCAGGGAAAGGCAAGTCAAAAACACAGTGAGGTATCACCTTACACGTGTCAGAATGACTACAATCAAAAGACAAGAAAGAACATGTGTTGGTGAGGATGTGGAGAAAATGGAACTCTCATGCACTGTTGGTGGGAATGCAAATTGATGCAGACACTGTGGAAAACACTATGGTGGTCCTCAAAAAATTAAAGAAAGAAACATCATACAATCCAGTAATTCCACTACTGAGTGTTTACTTAAAGGAAATGAGAACACTATTTCAAAAAATATATGCACCCCTATGTTTATAGCAGCATCATTTACAATAGCCAAGACATGGAAGCAACCCAAGTGTCCATCAATAGATGAATGGACAAAGAAGATGTGGTAGGAAGATAGATAGATGATAGATAGATGATAGATAGATAATAGATATAGAGTGGAATATTATCAGTCATAAAAAATGAATGAAATCCTGCCATTTGCAACAACATGGATGGAGCTAGAGGGTATAATGCTAAGTGAAATAAGCCAGTCAGAGAAAGACAAATACCATATGTGGAATTTAAGAAACAAAACAAATGAAGAAACAAAGAAAAAAAAGGGACAAACTAAAAAACCAACTCTTAAATACAAAGAACAAACATGGTTGCCAGAGGGGAGGTGAGTGAGGGAACGGGTGAAATGGATAAACGGCAGTAAGAGTTACAAACTTCCAGTTACAAAGTAAGTCACAGAGATGAAAAGTACAGCATAGGGGATATAGTCAATAAGATTGTAAAGATGTTGTCTGGTGATAGTGACTACACTTATTGTGATGAGCACTGAGTAATGCATAGAATTATAGAATCCAGTTGTACACTGGAAACTAATGTAACACTGTTAATTATACTTCAATAAAAATAATCATCTTTGTTTAAATAAGGAATAAACTCTTAGTGTGCTAATTATACTGTCAATTTTAGAAGTTTTTTGTCTATATATGTACAGCAAAAGTTTTGATAAACACACATTGAACTGAATTTTCTGAAAAGTCTAGTAAAAGAGTTATGTATATTAAATATATTTTTCATAGATTCCATTTATAAACTAGAGATATATTCTATACCAAAAGCCTTGGATATTGCCAATGTCTCTAGAGGTAGAACCTGGAATACCAATTCACATTTCCACAAATGCTGATTTAAAATAGCATAGATGAAATTTTTTAGCCTATAGGTTTTAGAAAAGCATAATTCTCTATACACCAAAATATACAGTTTGTGTTTAATTTTTAAATTTTATTCTTTACCCTTTCTTCCTGAAGTGTAAACAAAATAAAAAAATATTTCTCTTTGGAAATAAGAATTATTTTGTGAATTAATTTATGAACATTGAGTTCTTACTAGATGACAGGCACTGTCCTGTGTGCTTTTACATGATTTCATTTAATCCTCATACTAGCTTCAAGAAATAGGTAGTATCTCTCTGTTTCAGATGTGCAAAAGAGGAACCCTAGGCTCAGACAGGAGGGATGGATTGCTCAGCCTTAACCAGTTAGTAGAGATGGAGCTAAGAGTTGAATTGAGATTTCCGCCTGGCCAACCCTCTCTCCAGAATGGTGAACTTACTTGGTTCTTTTCATCCTGGCTCAGATTGGATATTCAGATATGTGTGGATTCGAACTAGTCTCTGCTTTAGAAGCTCCAAAAGTCATATGAGAGTTCATACTTTCTTTGTGTCTGGTTGCGGTTGTGGGGCATATTCAGTATTCAGCTGAGAACAAAGTTCCGTTACATCTCCCATAGCACTATGAGAGGAAATGCCACAGACTCAGTGTCCTGTACCTTGATCAAACCCTTGTCTCTTTTTGCTTTGTGTATCCCAACATTCCTGGGCCTGTGTTTTTTTTTGTGAGTCTTACCTGTGGTTTCCTGCTGAAGCCATGGCCTTGAAATCCTGGCATAGCCTTTCCCACAGATCACGGCACAGAGGCGCTGCCACCTGGAGCAGGCTGTAAGGTTTAAAGGGATTTGGTTCAAAGACCCTTAGAGCAAGGAGGCACATTGCCAGGAGATGCAAAATGAGCTAGAGGTTTTGGGCAGGGGACCTCAGGACAGAGAAATCCACACCATCATAAGACCAACCCCTCCTAATTTGTCTCAGGTGGGTGGTGTCTATTTTGAGACCCAACAGAAGGTGGGAAGACTCAGAGCTCCTGTTCCTTGTTGAACCCACCCCACTCTTCAAGTCTGAGGCCTACTGGGGTAAAGCCACCATGTACTTGTTTGGACTCCGTCTGTTCCTGACTCAGGAAACAACCCAGAATTTTCTTCCAGTACTCAGGTCTCTTTTGTGGTGTAGGAAAAGGAAGAGGTTGTGGGAGTTCCCAAGGGACTTTGATGTCCTTTGCTGCTGCAGTTGAGGACTTTGCGTTAGGCTCTTGTTTACCTTATGGTATGTTTCATGTCTAGCTCTCATCCAGTCAGGGACAAAGGACCTCGTATTGCAAGCCGTAACCTATGGGTCTGGATACTTCTTAAGTTATAAAGGAATATTTATTACTTCAAAGAGGGGAAATGAAACGAAGGGAAAAAGACACTGTAAAAAGAGAGTGTGGCTGGCCTTTCCCTCAAAGGAGGAGAGGAAGAAGGGAGAGCTGTGTTGCATTGACCACTGCAAATCATAAAATCACCCTAATTAAGCCAGCAGTGCAAACGGACACTCTATAAACACACCACCAAGACTCAGGAAAAATCAGCCTGCACACAAGGAAGAATTCTTGGTAAAATGGAAAATATGTTTTACCCTTCTCCTCCCCATTTTTAGAAGAGGTTTCTACCATTAGATATACCCTTCTTTAACCCTGAGGATTGTTTTCCTGGAGCTTCGTCACCCTCAGAACCAGATAAAATCTATAGAAAGGCACAGAGAACATTGTAAGGTCCAGCTCCAGAATCTCATAATGTAGCAACCATGTAATACCAAGTAACGTAGAGATTTACTCTCAACAGAAATGAAGAGTAATACTGAGCTAAAGGACATAAAATAAAGCTAGAATTACTACATCAAATAATTTCTGTGTGGGACATAAGCTGTCCAGGTCATCTCCCAATCTCAAAGATGTTTTCTTTTATATTAAAGGATTTCTAGGGACAAAACTCCCATGGTTTGCTTTGAAAGACTGTTTTATTGTTTTGTTTTGTTTTTAAAGATTTTATTTATTTATTTGACAGAGAGAGACACAGCAAGAGAGGGAACACAAGCAGGGTGAGTGGGAAATGGAGAAGCAGGCTTCCCGCTGAGCAGGGTGCCCGATGTGGGGCTCGATCCCAGGAAGCTGGGATCATGACCTGAGCCAAAGGCAGACGCCTAACGACTGAACCACCCAGGCACCCCGAAAGACTGTTTTATTGTTCATCATCCTAAGCATCTAGGAATATTGCTTACAAATAACTGAATTTCTTGTCCCTCAGTGTTGGCTTATTTTCAGCCATGGGTAGGGTAGCGTATATATGCTTGGGGGCACCAGCAGAAATGCATGAGAATAAACAGTTTGGCAGCTTCTAGTCTCAGAAACAATAGACACTGAAGTTGCCTCTCATGTCATACTCCACATGCTGAGAGGTTCAGATAAAATGTTTAGGGGGAAGACAGGAAGATGGGGAAGGATGAACTACATTCTGAACTATGCCAGTTCACAACAGAATGTTAGCTTGGTGTCTCTTGTCCGCTTCTCTCCCACTTTGGAGATAAGCTTGACTGGCTATGCAGTAATTTATTGTCTCCAGCAATGGTCTCTTTCATTGATCTTCTTGAGAAATTTAAAGAAAGACAGGTCCAAGTGAAAAAAGGAACAGTTGAGGTTAAAAAAGAAAGAAAGAAAGAAAATCTCAGAAAAATGTGGGACATTCAGTAGCTGAAAGTTATCTTTTTTCATCTGATTTTGATTTTTGGTGTAACCTCGGCTATCTTTTTGTGCCTACTCCATATTTTTCTCATAAGTGTAAAAATAGTGTAACACATTGCTAGCCCGGTGGACATGATGACTCACACATATATGTGCTTACGCCTAGGTGTGTTTCAGTAGACCAGGAGTGGCCACGGCAGTTTTCGTTTTCTTGACATCTGATGGCCCAGTACTCAGAGAACATCAGCGGCCGACAGTGACTGTTCACCTGACCGATGTCAGTGGGAACAACCACTCTCTTGGTGAGTCTGACAGTGATCCCTTCAGGGCCACTAGAGGATGATTCAATAGACCCCAAAATCAGCTTGGCATCTGACTCTGACATTGTTTGGGACCTTGCCTACAGTACACAGCTGTTGAGAAGATAAAAGGAATGCTAGGTATGGAACACAGTGCTATATGAATGACTTACAGTATTATTCATCTCCTTATTTCTCTTCAGGAACCTATGAGCTGTCGTGCCAGCATAACCCACTGGTTATCAATGTGACCCATCACCTGACTGTCCTCTCCCACCATACCACCTCAGTGCTGCTGAATTTCTCATCCCCATTGGTGGGCATCTCAGCAGTGGCTCTAAGGACATCTTCCCACATAAGTCCTTCAACTCCTAATAAGTGCATCCCAGAGCATGAGGGGCAAAATCATCAGGGACAGAGGTACAAAGTCCCTTTTCTCCTTTTTTTTCTTTCTTTTTCTTGTGGTTGTGAGGTACTACTATCATTTTCATATATAGCATTTTGTTTTCAGTGGGTGCTTAATCACTAACTAAAAAGTGGGTCTAAAAACTACTAAAAAGACATAAGAAACAAGCAAAGAACAACTCATAGAAGGTACACTTGGGTTTTACATTTTGCTCTTCTTTTCTTAACTGAGAATAATTTTTTTAATGTAAATATTTAACATCTTTACAAGGTCTTAAAATCTTTTTTACGTATAAAACCACTGCCTTCAAATCAACATGGTTATATAAACTGCCAAAAATTCTTTGCCAAAAACTCAATGTTCCCTAAGCAATGTATATTTTTCCACTTGTTCCCACCTGGACAGTGTATACAGCAAGTTTCACAATTAGTTTTCAAGGCATGTCATATAATCAATTAGAGTTACATATGGAAATCAGGAATATATTATCTACATAGGTCTTTCTGTGGACATCTGTGATTGTCATCATCTAGATAGAGGTTTCCTGAACTCTCTGCCTCAGCTAGTAGAGGGATTGTACTTTATAGTGTTGGTGTGCCCAAGGGTGGCCCGAAGGTAGGAGGGAGCAGGCCATACAATGGTGTGTGCTGCAGGTGGGCTGGACTCATTCTATGAGTGGTCTAGTCAATGGAGTGGGACTATAGGTAACAGAGTTCATTCCCTCAAGGAGTGAGGTTTCAGGCAATTAGGATCCCAGTCACAAAAGCTTCCAGGCAGTGCTCAATCACCAAATAGGAGATTTGATACCACCATGCCCAAACCAGGTATACCAGAAACCGAGATTTGAATAGGGACTGGGAGTAGACAGTAGTGTGTAGTATATCAGTTATCTTTTGCTGTATAGCAAGTTATAGCAAAATTTAGTGGCTTATCACAGTTTCCATGAGTGAGGAATTTGGGTGCAACTTAGCTGGGTGCTTCTGGCTTAGAGTCTCTTATGAGGTTGCCATCAAGCTGTTGACCAAAGCTACCTCAACCTAAGGCTCAAGTGGAGCTGCAAATTTCACTTCCAAGCTCACCCATGTGGTGGTTGGCAGGCCTCAGATTATCTGCATCCAGGCTCACTCACATTGGTACTAGCAATAGGCATGCTCACATAGGCGTCGTTCAGTTCTTCACCATGTGGGCTTCTCCATAGCTGCCTGAGCATCCTATAATACAGCAGCTAATGATCCAACAGAGAAAAAGAGCCAGAGAGGGTAAGTACACAGAACACCGCCCAAAAGCTACAGGAGGCCATAAAAGCCACCCAAAAGCTATAGGAGGCCATAAAAAAGTTATAGCCTTTTTAAAACATAATGTTGAAAGTGACAATCCATTACTTCTGGCATATTCTTTTCATTAGATATGAGTCAGTAAGTCCAGCCTATATTCAAGGGGAAGGGCATGAATCACTAGGGGCCATGTAAGAGGCCATCTACCACATACAGTAGTAATAGTTTGTTAACTGAGTACTAATTGTGTGCCAGGTGTTGTTGTAAATGCTAGAAAGAGAAAAGCAATAAGGAATAGAGTCTGAATGTTGAAGTAACATTTGTCTGAAACTCTTAAGTATTCTTATTGAGCAAACATCTTCAAATATTAACACAGGAATGTAGACTATTAAAATAACATTGTTTACTAGAATTATTGCCTCTCTCCTAGGTTTTTTCAAATGATTTTCTTTACTGGCTCTACCTCTGGCCTCAAGCCATACAGAATTTCTTTCAGGTCCCGGAGACATGTGTTCTTGATGAGTTTCATGTCTTTGCACATTATGTTCCTACTTTCTTGAATACCTTCCAGCCCTTCTTCACTTCAACTCATACTTCACCATCAGGATTCACCTTCTGTGAAATCTTGGCAAACTCCTTGCCTGTTTCCGTAGGGCATTGTACATAACCCACACTCTGCAGAAACAGCTATCCCATTGGGTGATAACTATTTGTTTACTTGTTGTTCTTTTCCACTAAGTTTTGAACTCTCTCTAGTGGAAATTCCATGCGGTATCTTTCAGTACCTAGCAGACGGCCTGGCACATAGTAGGTGTCAGAAACACTGTTGAATGATAGTAACAGACTTTATCTCTAAATGCTGGATGGAACAGAACTAAACAAGAAAACCAGAAAAAGTAGAAGTCATAGCCTCTCCAGACCTGAGGGACAAGAATTCCCCTCACCATCACAGCTGTGAAGTTCTGACAAAGAAGGAGATTAATTGTGATCATTGCTGCTCGTTCACTTATTTTCATTTGGCATTGTGGGAAAAACAAGCTTTATATGCACGCATGCAAACCAGTAGAAATAGGATATGATTCTCCAGTTTACACAGAGTGTATGTGGAATGCACAAGCATTTCCAAACCACATGTGACTGACAGGAGCCATGCAAATTGGCTTCCCTTCTCAGCCAGCAAATCAGTGCAATATAGTAAATTTTGATACACAGGGAACCTAATAGATTTCATATATTTTCTTTGTGAATGGATTTAAAATCTGAATCCCTATGTACTCTCAAAAAATAGAAGATTTTTTTATATCTTTATATCAATCCCAGTTGTAGATGTGGATAGATCATAATATGAAACCCTCAAATTCTGGGCATAGTGAGAGGGATTCCTGGCTACCTCATTTTTACCCCTTATGACCTGAATTCCATTAATACTAAAATAGGCAATGGAGAGCTGACAGATGCCTGGCAGTAGAGGATGTATTATCCACTCTGTATTTAACCATTAATGACCAATGGCCTGTCCCTCCTACAGCTCTGCATCTTTAAACCTGCCCAACTGGCCCACAGAATCTCAGCTGAAGGCCAATAAACCTGTCTGGCTCTCCAGTGATGTTTATCATCTTTACCTTAGACCCTTTAGCTTTGATCTCTCTCTTCATCTTGTTTCTCGTTCTGCTATGATGGCTACCAGTTTATGACCCTTTGGGCTTAGTCTACTGATAATGAACCATTAGTCTTGAAAACCAAGTTTTGTGTTCCTGGTTTTGGCCACTGGTGCTCAATTGGAGCTCAATTCACTCCTTCTTTCTGGCTGTTTCTAGCTCTAGCCACTTAGGTAAAGGTCCTGCATAACCTGCCACAGCATCCCATGAGTTGGAGAATCAGGCAGACCCCCAACCATGCCAGGATTGTGTTGATGGCTTTGGGAAGTGGGAACCACTTTTGTGATTAATGCAATGAGATTTAGAATGTATCCGAGATATACTCCAGGCACTGATAGGTTACTTTGAGTAAATGAGAGAAATTAGCTTCCAGATAATCAGGACTCTAATTTAATCAGGACTCTTATTACCTACTTTGGAAATTCACACAGTCAAGTTTAGAAGAATTTACTAATAGGCAAGAATTGCTGATGGGCATGTAATTTCTCCTACAACAGAATTTTGTTCTTCTAGTTACATGAACATAATGTAATGGAAACATTGATTGTAACTTCTCTACTCCTACAAGATGATAAATGCAACAGATCCCCCAGCATTGAATCTTCTGAGGATGAACATCATCTCCTTCTCCAGGGCATGGGCTGATTACAATGGTTGAAACTTCTGACCACTCCTTTCTTTGCAACATTTGCACTTATTTGTTTCTTTGCAACATTTGTCTTATTGATTTTTTCATCGACCTTCTCCATAACAGGTTGCAGTGTAATCTCCCAAACAACTGTGCTTCCTTAACTTTTCTTTGTATTTTAAAGAGTTCTGGCTTTTTATAATTTGATGTTACAGAATTAGGTGCATAACTGCTTGTGACTCTTTTATCTTCATTAGGATCATACCTTGTGCCAACCCTTTTGCTCTGTTAAATGCTTTTGGCTTTGTATTCTACCTTGTCTGGAATTTAAATTTCCATCCCTGCTTTCCTTCTGTTTATATTTATTTGGTAAATACTTGCCTTTCATTTATTTTTAACATTCTGCTATCTTCATTGCCAATGAGCCCAGGGCATATTGCTCCATGGCACTGTTTATTCTGAAAATTTATTTCATGGTCCTCAAGCTTCTAGTATCTTTAGGACCCTGTAGTATTTTTACCTTTGGGACATTTATCTTCCAGGATTCCATGGCTTTTGCCAGTGGTTCTCCCTCGCCCCCCACTCTCTCCCACCCCACTGGACCAAGACCCTCATACTTCCTGACCTGAAGTCTTAAAGTCAGTAATGAAAGGGTGGTACTGATGAGGACTAAAGGACAAAAAACAGATCTGTGACCCCTGAAACGCAGTGCCCAGTTTGCCAATCTCAAGAGAAGCCAGAGAATGAGGAAAGAATGACCCTTTTCCTCTCTCCTTTTAGCATGGCTTTATTCCTTATTTGCTTTTTTCCCCCCTCAGGAAAAAAAATGCATGCTTTGGCTTCCAGTGATGTTTCTCAATTCAACTCCAATACATTTTGAAATCAGGAGGAAATCCTCACAGATTCCAGCTGTCCGTCTTGGTTTTTGATACTGATAAGAGTTTTCATATTTTTTCTGTTGGAATTTAAGTGGGAAGCAGGGGAAAATGACCTCATAGCATTCTTGTGAGATTAACTGAGAAGCATACGTGTGGAGTGCATAGCACATGCTGGCACCAGGCAGGAGCACCGCCCATATAAGCTTTCACACTATTGCTCATCTTTGTTTTTCTCCATTCCTCTTTTTACAAGGTGTGCCACTGATCAGTTTCTTGCTTCTCAGCTCTCAGGTCACTCTCAACATGTGCATGTGTAAATACTAGAACAGGATTTTATTGATATTTATCCTTTGCCAGCTGACACAGTGTTCAGCTTTGTCAGAAGTGGGTAATGGAGAGATACTACAGGAGGAAGGGCTTCTCTTCCTGGCTTCAGCGTGCTTTCTTCTCTTTTGCGGCTGTGCCATGCTCAGCAGTGGTGTAAAGAACAGCTTCCATTAAGTCAGCAACCACTTGTGTTCCCAGGGTATGTATTTCCAGTTGGCTCTTCATCACCATCAACCAAAAGTAATGCTTGTTATTTATCCCACTGCATGTTATAGACTGCTAGCATCCCATTTCCCATTGACAAGGAGCTCCTCATTGTACTCAAGCCCAAAGGTACAACCAAACTGATCCCCAGATCTGACCTTTGTGAATCTATCTCCTGGTACCACATACAGGTCCATTCTATGCCAGTCGGGGTCCAGTGAGGACACAGTAATTAGAATAGGGAGAGTTTAATATAAAGAACTATTAACTACTTAGGGGAACTACAAAGGATTAACTACTTAAGAGAACCCTAATGAATAGAAGAATGGGGGATAAAGGGAGCAGTCATTCCATTTTCCATTTAGAGGTGAGGGAAGAGTATCAGAGGAAGGAACAAATGTGGAAAAGGCTCCCCACCTAAGGCTATGATTTGGATCTCATCAGAGTGGGTTTGGCGATGGCACAAGGGATGACACAGAAGTTTGCTGAGGTTTTAGAGTCTGGGGCCAGCAAGCAGGAAACCACCCACTGGAGTGCTGATCAAAGCTTCTTTGGAAGCTGCCTGCTCAGGCACTCTTGGGACTTCTGGAAAGCTGCCCTTGGGGTGCTGCTGACACTTTCTGGAGGTCACCCACTGGGCACTGGTGAAACTTTCTGGGAAGTCAATCAGTGGGTCGCCTTTGAGGCTTGCTCCAGCTAGAGTGCTGGTAGACCTTGCTGAGCTGTGCAGGGTGTCCCTGAAACTCCTTACAGCGTGAGCACCACCGGACTGAAGCCCTGTCAGATGTCAAGTGCTGCAGAGGCCAGGAGAGGAAAACACATGGGAATCTAGAAGAGATGCCCCTTCTTCCTGGAAGTCTCTCCAGTTACATCTACTGGGAACATGTGACATTACACTAACGGGCCAAAGAGCAATATTTACATGGTGCATCTCTAGGATCGCAAAGTGGCAGGAAAGATCTTGTCAAGGAACCCAGAAGAAATCCCATTTTTGTTCTTTGCCTTTTATGTTCCAGCTAAGATTTCCTTTAAGGTCCTGGCTTTAATCTTCAGACCACTTTTCAGTATAACTTCTAAATAGATTCGACCTAACTAGAAATGCATATTTTCTTTTTTTAATGTTTTGAACTTATTTTAAGTCCAAGGCAAACATGAAGTATAAATACCTCATTAACTTATTCAGTATAAATATACATTCTGATTGAGATAAAAAACAAGTAATAGATATTCATAAATAAAAAATTGTTGTGGGTTCTGAGGTTTACCTTAAACTATAGCTTATCAACGCCAAGTATTCCAATCTACTATTGAATGATATTAATTATTTCAAATGAATATCCATGTAGAAACCTAAGTTCTTTCTTCTCTCTCTTGTTCTCACTCTCATTCTTTCTCATTAACTATATATAGTCATGCTTTGATCCTTTTTTTCATTGTGGATAACTGAAGGTAGATTCGTGTAACAATTTAGGTCTAATACAATGGATATGTGTGTGAGAGTGTGAGTGTATACCTTGTGTATGCTTACTATATTTTACTTCAAGTAGAAGAAAGTTTTTGAAAAGTTTCATGTAAGTTGATTTGTAAAACTAATTATTCTATATGGTGTGTGTGCATGTGGTTTGAGTGTGTGTGTGTGTGCATGTATGTCTCTGTATAGAAAGAGATGGACCATTCATCATTCAAAAATATTTATTAAATGCCTACAATGTGCCAGGAATCATTTTTCAGTTAAGGAAACAGACTCAGAGTGTACAAATTCACCTTATTTGAGATTAGCAAAACTAAGACTAGGATCCAAGAAATTTGTTTTTAGTAAAGGAACGTTCCATTATAAGAATAGAAATTGTTTCAGAAATGTATCCATGTCTACTACCATCCAAGAAACCCTGCTGCCCTCCCTCAAATTATATTTGGAAAAAAAGCATGAGGGAAGAACAGAGATTCTAAGAGCAACGTCTTCTCATAGAAATTCCTTATTCTTAGTAGGTGGATTATCTAAGCAGCTGTCTTACTAGAAAATGTCCCCTCAACTCTCCATTATCTAGTTACACCATATCCATTTTAGTAATGATCCATATCCATCCATATTCTCTTCCCTAGTCCATTTTTCCAAACCTGAGCCACCTTTAGAGCCACCTTCTCCATGGCTCAACTATAATTATTATTCATTAAAGTGAAATTTAATCAGTAATATCTGTTTCCTGGAAAATCATAAAATCATATAAAATCTAAAAATAAAAAACGTGGCTATTCTTTAAAAAATTTGTATTCTGATTCTTTTCATAATATTGGATAATTGAGAGTTAATTGTTTTAGCAATTTTGGTCTAGTAAAATGTGGCTATATGTGCATGTGTGTATGTATATTCACTTTATACAAGACAATCTTTTGGAAAAGGTTAATGTGTAATGAATTATATAACTACATTGTATTTATTTATTTATTTATTTTTTATAGAACTACATTTTAAAATGATTTGGCTTTTTAAATGATTGTGCCATTCAGAAGGGTATTATTTTTTAAGTAAAAGATAAATATTTTTGTAAAGAGCAATGTCATCCCCAGATTTTCTCCTCTTTCTTTTTCTTTTTCTGCATTAATCTGCATCTTTCTATTTACTTAAAGCAAACTAAACGTGAACACATGAAGTCTGAATCAAGAAAACATAATGAACACATACACTGTGCTCTTGTATGATTCTATATTCAAAGCAACAACTCTTAGAATTTACCTTTTGCATTGAAAACATTTACTACTAGGCTGCTATTATGGATATCAGTTGGCGTTCAGCTTCTGACACTCATATACTTAACATAAAAATGTACATGTACATAATTAAAATACCTGTCATGTTTTGTCAACCATGCTTGTGTAAAGATGAGAATCAGGTCATTTTAAAACTGAGTAATCGGGGCACCTGGGTGGCTCAGTCGTTAAGCTTCTGCCTTCTGCTCAGGTCATGATCCCAGGGTCCTGGGATCGAGCCCCTCATCGGC